AGATCAGACTCACGCTGCTCTGCAGACATTTTCTGTCAATAACGCCGGCATCTTTCGGCTGCAGAGCTACATTGTATCAACAGTTGTTCTTAGACATAGTCCCACCTCTCTACTGTCACAGTCTGAGATGCAGGTGAATGAGAGTCCTGGCCATCAGGCTGCTTAGAGCTGTCTGACCAATGGCTGATTCTGGCTGATCCTGTGGGGCTGGGACTTCCTCTTCCCTGTTGTCAGTTTCCACAGCTGTGATGAGGAAGCTGGGGTGACAGAGGGAGCCACGCCCTCCAAGCCACCCTCTCTCTCGCTCTCTCTATGTCCAGTGGTCTCTTGCTCTGTCAAGTCCTCCAAACCTCCCGCTCTCCACCAGAAAGGTCCCAGGAGCCCGTGGGCATGGCTAGGCACAGGCGGCCTCGCCTCCCAGGGCCGGCGAAGGTCCTGGGCGCCCGTGGCCACGGGCACCGTCGCCTCCTGGGGCACCTGACACCTGTGTATGCAAATTAACCGCCATCTTTGTCAGGTTAATTTGCATAGTCACTCTGATTGGGTGGTGGGCGTGGCTTGTGGGTATGGCTTGAGCGTAGTAGAGGGATGGCTAATTTGCATGTTTCTCTTTTATTATATAGGACTAGAGGCCCGATGCACAACATTTGTTCACTCCGTGGGAGGGAGGGGGCATCCCTCAGTCTGGCCTGCACCCTTTAGCAGTCTAGAGCCGAGCCCTTGGGGGATGTCTGACTGATGGCTTAGGCGGCTTAGGCCCGCTCCTCATGAGGAGCAGACATCCTTAGCCCTGCAGTAGGACATCCTTAGCCCTGCAGCAGAGGCAGGAGAGGCTCCTGCCACCATCACTGTGCTTGCCAGGCATTGTGGCTGAATGGCACTACTCCTGTGGGAGCACACTGACCACCAGGGGGCAGGTCCTGCACTGAGCATCTGCCCCCTAATGGTCAGTGCGCATCAGAGCAACCAGTTGTTCTGCCATTCGGTCGACTTGGATATTACCCTTTTATTATATAGGATGATTGAACACCTTCCTGGCAGAAAGTGTAGTGCTATATCCACTCTGACAGATAGTTAGATGTTAGCCTTCCTCTCCAAGAGTTTGGCTTCTACTTTTGGTGTTAGATGTGTGTATAAATGCATATATGTTTATATATACACTGGAGGCCTGGTGCACAAAAATTTGTGCACTCGGGGGGGAGGCGGGGGTCCCTCAGCCTGGCCTGTGCCCTCTCACAGTCTGGGACCCCTCGGGAGATAACGACCTGCTGGCTTAGGCCTGCTCCCGGGTGGCAGAGGGCAGGCCCAATCCCTAGGTGCAGCCCCTGGTCGGGCTCAGAGCAGGGCCAATTGGGGAGTTGGGGCGCCGCCCCCTGTCATGCACAGAGCAGGACGGATCGGGAGGTTACGATGCCACCCCTAGTCATGCTCAGGGTAGAGCCAATTGGGGGGTTGGGGCACCGCCCTCTGTCACACTCAAGGCAGAGTCGATGGGGAGGTTGTGGCGCCAACCCCTGTCACGCACAGAGCAGGGCTCATCAGGGGGGTTGGGGCTCTGTACCCTCTCACGCACAGAGCAGGGCTGATCAGGGGGTTGAGGAGCTCCCCCCGTCATGCACAGAGTAGGGCCGATAGGGGAGTTGGGGCACCGCCCCCAGTCACCCACAGAGCAGGGTGGATCAGGGGGTTGGGGTGCCGCCACTGTCACACTCAGGGCAGGGCCGATGGGGATGTTATGGCTCTACCCCGTCACACACAGAGCAGGGCCCATGGGGGGGGTTGGGGCACCACACCCTGTCACACACAGAGCAGGGCCGATCAGGGGGTTAGGGTGCTGCACCCTGTCACACACAGAGCCACGGGGCGATCAGGGGGTTGGGGTGCCTTCCCCTGTCACAAACAGAGCAGGGCGGATAGGGAAGTTGTGGCCCCACCTCCTGTCACACACAGAGCCACAGGGCAATCAGGGGGTTTGGTCGCTGCCCCTGTCACGCTGATCCCGGTGCCGGGAGGCCTCACAGCTCCGCTGATCCTGGTGCTGGGAGGCATATTACCCTTTTACTATATAGGATAGAGGCCTGGTGCACAGGTGGGGGCCAGCTGGTTTGCCCTGAAGGGTGTCCTGGATCAGGGTGGGGGTCCCCACTGGGGTGCCTGGCCAGCCTGGATGAGGGGATGATGGCTGTTTGCAGCTGGTCACACCCCCTTCAGGGTGGGGGTCCCCACTGGGTGCCTGGCCAGTCTGGGTGAGGGGCTGAGGGCCGTTTTCAGGCTGGCAGGTGACTGAAGCTCCCAACCTGTCCTTTTTTTCTTTTTTTCTTTTATTCTGGGCCAGCTTTAGCTCTGAGGCTTGGCTCCAGCTCTGAGGCCTTGGCTGCTGAAAGCAGGTATCTGATTTGTTTGGGTTCTATAATCGAAACACTGTTTCAACTCCAGCTCTGAGATCCCGGCTGGCTGAAAGCAGGTTTCTGGGGTTTTGTTTAGCTTCTATATTTGTTACAATGTTTCAAACTGCAAGCTCAGAGGCCGGCAGCAGCAGGCGGGGAATGTTGGCTTCCTCTGTCACTGGAGCAAGCAAGCCTCCTGTTAGCTTCAAGCTGCCTGGCTGCCGGCCGCCATCTTGGTTGGCAGTTAATTTGCATATCGCCCTGATTAGCCAATGGGAAGGGTAGCAGAGGTACGGCTAATTAGCATGTTTCTCTATTATTAGATAGGATGGTGTGTATAGGCCACTTCGAGTTAGTTATGTACTTACACAATGTACTATGTATTTTTGCTTTTGTGTAGTGGGTATGCAGAAGTGCATGTTATGAAGAATTCACCATTGGTTAGTATGTGCAAGTTGACTGCAACTCAATTCTGTGCCTCATCAGTTGTGCTTTTTTCTCTAATGTCATTTATTTTTCTGTCACCAACAGAGACTTCCGGTGGGGAAAAAAGAGAATCTAAATTAGGGAGAAATACTTAGCTTCTCCCTATATACCTCCTAACAGGTATTTTAAGGTGTAGCCCATCAGTGGCTGCTTATTTCCATATTCACAATGATATTCATGACACTTTCTTAACTCTATTTTAGCAGAGTAAAACAGTCACTTAGAAATCATGTAACTAGAAAGTCACATCAGATGGAGAGTTAATTAGCTGTACAGTTTTCACATTTTGTTGGGGTTATTTCCCTTAACAGGCTTCTATTTAACACCTCTCATGCTGTTTTTTTTTTTCATTAAATGTTTCAGATTAATTATCTTTTGTTGTTAAATGCAGTTATTAGGGGGACCCAATGAGTGGTGGACACACTGCCCATTCCTGATTTCCAGAACTTAAGTGCGCCACTAGAAAACAGAGTAGCAGTATTCTTCGGTCGATGCAAAGATTATGTTACGATTGTTTTATAATGCATTTGAGATGTTACCTCAAAAATTCGTAAGGTGATATACTCCAGGTGCCAGCCAGCATCCCTGAAAGCACTGCTTCAGGCCGTAGTGCCTCAGGAAGGTTCTGATGGGCCTTTGGGAATATGATCGAATCACCTTAATGTCATGAGACAGATGCCATTAGACGAACATAAGGAAAGGACTGGAGAACTGTTTTTGGAAATTTTAAAAAATGTATAGCGTGATCATATTTGATAGTGGAAATTTGGGGGACAGATGAATTACAGTGAGATTGTACAAAAGTATTTAGTATGTGTATACTTTGAGTAACAATAGGTTCCTCAGTTTACTTAAAATATGAATCAATTCATATATTTTCATTTATTTTTTATTTTTACTCACTAAATTAAAAACACACATTGTAAATAAAATCAGTGTCTTCCAAAAATAAGATATGTTGGGTTTTCATACCTGAAATGCTATTTTCCCTTCATTCCAGTGACTGGTTTAGCTGATCCATACTAATTTGAGGCATAATTTTAATTTTGACATCCATAAGTTTCTAAATACCAAATATTTTGCATGATTTTCAAGTTAAGTCATTTCATCCTAAGTAATGTGAAATTATTTGCAGACTTTATCCTACTAATCATGAATATTCACATTTCCCTGCAAAATTATTAAGTATTGTTGACTATAATTTGTTGTCTAGACCCTCTCCATACAATGCAACTTAATACCTTTCTCAGATTTGATATATTTTGGATTTCAAATATATTTGGCTGCAAAGGTTTTGAACAAGCAGTGATGCACCTGAACTGATATTGACATTCTTTGGCTCATCCCAGGAAGCCCACTTTCATGCTGTTAGTTGTTGAATGGAATCTGGTGACTGGAGGGAGTGGATTCTCCAGCTGTGATTCTATTGGATGCTTGTTGGTGTTGCTAATAAGTTCCACAGTTTTATAAAGAACTTGGGTTTGTAATCATTACATACAATTGGAATATATTCCGGATTAATTATTTGAAAACATTTTTGTGAGTGTTGGATGATGAAACAAAGCACTGAGTACATCATTCTGTATTAAATACAGGTCATATGTATTGTAACTATAGCTGTTCGACTCACAGTGCTTATCAGTGCTCCTAAAAAGATGTGTGATGGTGAGGAATATGTCCTCCACCTGTGTCACCTATATCATTGGACTATCTTGTTTCACTTTCCATTATTTGCATTCTATGCATTCCTTCTAATTAGGATACTCATATATTAATAATAAAAGTCATGATTTCATAATTCTCCAGTATAACTTGTCAGTTTTTAATGCTCCTAAATATATACACCAATTGTAACATCTGTAACATTTGACATCCAAATACAACTTGTCCCTTTGACTTAACCATACATTTGGCTTAAAGAATTTTTAAATGTCTTTTTAAAGTTGGAGCAAGTGATTGCTTTGCCCTGAGCCAAATCATTCCTTTCTACTCTCTGTACAATTACGTTAATTATATTTTATTAAAATTCCCAGAGGCCTCAGCTCTAAACTAAAGGCCAATATGTACTTTTTATTAGTTGTAATTAATATTGACTACGTGTGTGTGTATGTGTCTTTTTTTTTACAGTTACATTTCAAAGAGGAGATGGAGGACTAATGAGCAATGGAAGGTATGCTAAGGAGATTCTTTTTTTATTATTATTATTCCCATTTGTAATCAGGACGAGGGAAACTATAGTAAGAGGTTTTATTGTAATAAACGATCACTTACACGTCTGAGAATTCTAGGAGGAATTAAATGGCTTACCACAGGTTTAATGATCTATCTGTTGTGCACTTTAGAGAAATCAAGTCCAGATGTTTCATATCTCCCAGATGTCCCTGAAGAAATTAGTAGTAAATATCACAAGGAATGTGTTCATTTGTTAGCAGGATTTTTATTGCATTAATTAGACATTAGCAAATGAAGTTGCTGTTGTTTAAGACTCCTTATTGGCTCTCACTAAATTGCAGTGAGTGAACAATTACACATAATCGATCACAAAGTAAATGATTCATGTATGATGAATAGGCTGCAGATTGATAGGACTGGATTCCACAACTTTAGATACTCAATTGAAATTGATAAAATCTGATAACAAACTCATATATCCTCATCTGTTTTCCCTTTGCCAATATGAAGATTGTAATTAGGCTCTGGTAATAACTTCCAATCTCCCATAATCAATATTTTTGCAAAAAGAGATTAGGTCTAATGAGAACTACTGTATGTAGCAAGAAAGCAGTTGGATCTTCTTATTGCAGTTTCCATAGAAACTCATGTTTTTCTTAGGGATTGTACCAGAATGTCTATCCAAAAAAAAAAGTACAACGGTTAAATTATTTATTTGTGAATAATTTAATAATCTATACAGGAATTAGAATCCCCATCTTAAATATTAAATATGTGAATTCTTTATTAGCTATGATGCGAAGAAAGTTTTCTTCATGGACTTTATGAACATGCCGGATGAGATCACAGTGGATCTTTTATTACCTTAGAAGGAAACTGTAATATATACCCCTTATATTTTGCAATTTAGAAAACCTGGAAATGTGCTATTGATGGAACAGTATAAATACTATTCATTAATTTTCCTCAAGTCCTTTGCCCTAAATCAAGCATGAGGCTCATAACAGGGGTTACAGCATTCAGGGGACAGATAAATATGGGGCTTGCAGGAATCAAGGCAGCAATAGCCCCAAGTCCTGGAAATGGCTGATACTGAGCAGTCACTCTGAGCAATTGTTCCCTTGAGGTGCCAATTCATCATCAAACCTCATTTGGGGATCTTGCTATGTTACTGATTCCCACCAGTTTCAGGGCAGATGACAGAATTCACTTGGATGTCAGCAGAATCCCAGGCAGGACCCTCTGCTTCCACTGACATCTATATATAACCTAATGAACTGCTAAAGTTTCTTAATTTTAGAAAGTGTACACATTTTAATTTGAAGTAAATTAAAATCTTAAATTAATTTCAGTGCATGAGACTGGTGTCCACATCTCCCACTGAGCTTCACGAGTTGATTTCTTTTTAATTTCTGTTTTAGCCGTCCAGGTCTTCTAAATGCTGGGGACCCCAATTATCCGTGGCTTGCTGATTCATGGCCAGCCACAAGCTTGCCAGTCAACAATAGCAATAGTGGCCCAAATGAGATTGGGAATTTTGGGCGTGGAGGTAAGTGATGTTTTTCAAATTTTTTCTATTTGTTTTCTTGGATTTTCTAGATTTCTTAAAGATATATCAAAGAGTATTTTTGATCATTAAAATTAGTGAAGCACATATACTAATAGCATAATACATTTGCAGAATATTTTATTATAAAACTATTTTGCTATATTACCTTGAGTAAAACTAAGTTTTTAAGGAAGTCATTACTAACCAAGAAGATAAATATTCATAATATATTTTGTTTTTAAGACTATTAGTACAAGATTACTAAAATCAGGAACTATGCTGCTAAACAGGGCTTATAATTTTGGTCTAGTTATTTCACTTCTCTCATTCATTCATCATATATTTATTGAACATGCCCTTTGTACCTGGAATTGTGGCAGACAGTAAAAATATAATATTAATATTAAGAGAAATGGTCTGTATGCTCATCTATCTAATAATAAGGTAATATGCAAATTGGTCGGGACGCTGTCATGTAATGACCAATCAGCAGGCTGTGTGAGCAGCAGGTGTGGGCGGGGATTTGCAGCATCAGGGATGCGGGTGGGGGAGGTGGGCCCGGCAGAGGGCAGCCTGCACTCCCCACATGGCAGTGGCAACTGTAAGTGCTCCCGATGGCCACTGCCACTTGCCCAGGGCCGGCCTGGGGTTCTGGCAAGCCACCAATGGCCTCTGCTGCTTCAAGGGCCCGAGGCTCAGGCAACGAGGGCTGAACAAGACTCTGGCAAGCCTCAGTGGCTGTGATGGCTGAGGCTCAGGCAGCCTCGTGGCCGGCAGTGGCAGCAGCAGAGGCATGATTGGGGGCATCACCTTCCCCTGATTGGACGGTCACCTCCCACAGAGGGAGGCTAGACTGTGGCTTTGGTCCACTCCCCGCCGGCTCCTGGACTGTGAGAAGAGCAGGCTGGGCTGAAGGACCCCCCCCGCCAAGTGCATGCTCTCACAATCCGGGACCCCTCAGGTAGGGTCCAGTCCAGCCGTGGGCAAACTACGGCCCGAAGGCCGGATCCGGCCCATTTGAAATGAATAAAACTAAAAAAAAAAAAAAAAAAAAAAGTACCCTTTTATGTAATGATGTTTACTTTGAATTTATATTAGTTCACACAAACACTCCATCCATGCTTTTGTTCTGGCCCTCCGGTCCAGTTTAAGAACCCATTGTGGCCCTCGAGTCAAAAAGTTTGCCCACCCCTGGTCCAGTCCCATCACAGCATGGCTCTGGTTCCCCAGGCCTGCAGGCCAGGGGGGCAGGGACTAAGAGGCCAGTCTGATCGCAGCATGGCTCCAGTTCCCCAGAGCCTGCGGGTGTGGGGAGGGAACCAGAGGCCAGTCTGATGGCAGCATAGCTCCGTTCCCACAGCTCCCTCCCACCACCATGACATGGGTGGCCGGCTGGGGCCCACAGCTCCCTCCTGCTGCCATGCTGCACGCAGCGGGACCCAGGACTGACTCCCGCCACAGGTGGCCAAAACCCAGGACTGACTCCCACCATGGGCAGCCGGGACCCAGGACTGACACCTGCCATGCCGGCCTGGACCCTAGTCTGGTGTTTGGTCGTCCATCTGGATGTTTAGGTCATGACGGACCCTGGCTCTTTATATATTAGGATAATGAGTATACACTTAAAGTTAACATGTTGAGTGAGAACTTTCCTGTAGTTCTGTAATTGATATCTGATACCCCAAATAAAAGACAAAAAGGTGCTAAGTAGCTGACATGCTGAAGTGTCCAAAATTTGGTGCCAGGGTTCTTTCCATAGGTCTTTATAGGGAGACAGGATTGGACCTACTATAAATATTCACCACTCTCCCCCCTCCATCTTTCCATCCAGTCAATAAGAGATCAGTGGGTTTAGAGAAAGACTTGATTAGAGAAGTCTCTGGTCCCAGTGTTTAATTTGGCACATATATATGAGTTTTCCATTGGCAAAAATTTGTGCAGACAGCAAATAAACTTGAGCTGTGCTGCCAATACCCCACATGAAAACTGCCCATTGGAAGTAAGACAGTTCTATGAATGGAGTGTTGTATCTGAAGCAGAGTTAAGAATTAATCAAAAAAGTGACAAAAGATGTGTGGAGAATAAACTATCATAATTTAAGGTACAGATATAAGGTAGATATTGACCTATTGGAGAAATTAATTATCTAGTGACTTGAATATAAAGTGCAAGACAGCAGAAGTGGTAAAAAATCACAGAGTGCCTTCTAAGCCACACAGAGACTTTAAACTTTCTTCAAAGCATGACCAGAAGCCACTCATAGATTTCTAAGAGGAGACTTCTAGGTTCCAAACACTGCTTTAAGTCATCCAGCTCATTGCTGGGTGGAGAATGCAGTTACAATGGAAAAATGAGGAGATTAATTAAGAAGGTAGTGCTGTAATTCAAGAAAGTTTGGATAAATCCACTGGAAGATTTCTATATTTCTAGGTAGATTTACTGCAGGAAACCCAGGACTAGATTCAACTATTCTGAGTCTATTTGCCTTAATGGTGGATTTCACATGTATGAGTATATAAATATATTGAATTAAAAGAATAATCATGGATGCTGGCTTTTTCTCTTTAAAAATGGAATACCACCCAGCCGATGTGGCTTAATGGTTGAGTGTTGACCCATGAACCAGGAGGTAAAGGGTCCATTTCCAGTCAGGACAAATGCCTGCGTTGTTGGCTCAATGTCCAGTAGTGGGTTTTTTAGGAGGCAGCTGATTAATAATTAGTTTTCATCATTGATGTTTCTATCCCTCCCTCTCCCTTCCTCTCTGAAATCAATAAAATAAATAAAATTATTTAAAAAAAAACAATGGAATACCAATGCCAATTTGAATATCATCAAAACAGTATTTCAAATAATAGTTATTAAGTATTGTATAAGTATGCATTCTGTTAATACCAACTATAAGAAGGCGAACTCCCTCCTATTCTCCAAATAAAATACATAAAATAATCATTCTTAGCTCTTAGGTGTGTAATGAGAATTAAATGGATGATACACACACACACACACACACACACACACGGGTTTAGCACAAACCTTACCATACAATCAGTGGTCAATATGCATCATTAGAGTAAATAAGAGAATAGAAAGTAAGTTTTCAGACCATTCCACTTCTAGTTTACTTTCTATAATTTAGTACACCCCGTTTAGGATTCCTATATGGCCAATGCCTCTGAAAGTGGCTGCCTTCTCTGCTTGACCAAACTCTGAGCCTGCACTGTAGGCTATCACTCCACCGTGGGTACGTTCTGTACTTGAGTATCTCCTCACCAGGTAGGCAGAACATGCCCCCTTGACCTGCCCAGACTGCCTGTGTCAAAAGAAATTTTGTTCCCAAAGCTCTTTTTAAAATTTACCTTTATTGTTGAAAGTATTAAACATGTCCAAATTTTTCACCTCTTGACCTCTTCCACCCACTTCCACCCCCTCTCCAAGCCTTCCCCACACTATTGTCTGTCCATGGGCTATGCATATATAAGTTCATTGGTTAATTGCTTCCCACCCACCACTTCCCTGTGAAATACATCCATCTGTTCCATGCTTCTATGTCTATGGATCTATTTTGTTCATCAGTTTATTTTGATCATTAGATTCCACATATAAATGAGACCATATGATACTTGTCTTTCTCTGACTGGCTTAGTTCACTTAGCATAGTACTCTCCAGGTCCCTTCATGCTGTTTCAAAGGGTAAGAGATCTTTTTTACAGCTGCATAGTATTCCAGTTTGCAAATGTACCACATTTTTTAATCCATCCATCTATTGATGGGCACTTGAGATATTTCATGATCTTAGCTATTGTAAACAATGCTACTATGAACATAGAGGTACATATATACTTTCTGATTGGTGTTTCTGGTTTCTTAGGATATATTCCTAGAAGTGGAATCACTGAGTCAAATGAAAGTTCCATTTTTAGTTTTCTGAGGAAACTCCACACTGTTTTCCAATATGGTTATATCAGTCTGCATTCCTACCAGCAATGTACTGGCATACATTTTTCTCCAAATCCTAGCCAGCACTTGTTGTTTGTTGGTTTATTGATGCTAGCCATTCTAGCAGGTGTGAGGTGGTAACTCATTGTAATTTTAATTTGCTGTGCTAAAGCTTTTTCTTTGGATGTAGTCCCATTTGTTTATTTTTACTTTTGTTTCCCTTGCCCTAGGCCAGCGGTTCCAAACCTGTGGGTCGCGACTCCTTTGGGGATCGAACCACCCTTTCACAGGGGTCGCCTAAGACCATCGGAAAACACATATATAATTACATATTGTTTTTGTGATTAATCACTATGCTTTAATTATGTTCAATTTGTAACAATGAAATTGGGGGTCACCACAACATGAGGAACTGTATTAAAGGGTCGCGGCATTAGGAAGGTTGAGAACCACTGCCCTAGGCAATGTATCAGTGATTATTCTGCTAAGTGAGATGTCTGATATTTTGCTGCCTATGTTTTCTTCTGGGAGTTTTATGGTTTCGTGACTTACATTTAAGTCTTTTATCTATTTTGAGTTTATTCTTGTGTACAGTGTAAATTAGTCTAGTTTCATTCTTTGAATGTACCTGTCCAATTTTCCCAACACCATTTATTGAAGACTAGAGGCCCGGTGCACAAAAATTTGTGCACTGGGGGGGGGGGTCCCTCAGCCCGGCCTGTGCCCTCTCGCAGTCTGGGACCCCCGGGGGATGACCACTTGCTGGCGGAGGCCTGCTCCCTGGGGGATTGGGCCTAAGCTGGCAATCAGACATCCCTCTGGCAGCCCGGCAGCCTTCCGGGGATGTCCACTTGCCAGCGGGGAGCAGACCTAAGCTGCAGTCGGACATCCTTAGCGCTGCTGAGGAGGCAGGAGAGGCTCCCACCACCACCGCTGTACTGGCAGCCATCAGCCTGACTTGTGGCTGAACAGAGCTCCCCCCTGTGAGAGCACACTGACCACCAGAGGGCAGCTCCTGCATTGAGCGTCTGCCCCCTGGTGGTCAGTGTGTGTCATAGTGACCAGTCATTCCCAGTCGTTCTGCTGTTAGGGTCAGTTTTCATATTACCCTTTTACTATATAGGATAGAGGCCTGGTGCATGGGTGGTGGCCGCTGGTTTGTCTTGAAGGGTGTCCTAGATCAATGTGGGGGTCCCCATTGGGGTGCCTGGCCAGCCTGGGTGAGGGGCTGATGGCTGTTTGCAGCTGGTCACACCCCCTTCAGGGTGGGGGTCCCCACTGGGGTGCCTGGCCAGCCTGGGTGAGGGGCTGAGAGCCGTTTTCGGGCTGGCGAGCGACTGAAGCTCCCAGCCTCTCCTTTTTTTCTTTTTCTTTTTATTCTGGGATTTATTTACTTTCTATAGCTGTCACTGGAGCTGAGAGCCAGCTCCAGCTCTGAGGCCCGGCTCCAGCTCTGAGGCCTCAGCTGGCTGAAAGCAGGTATCTGGGGTTTGTTTAGCTTCTATAATTGAAACATTGTTGCTTCAGGAGCTCAGAGCCGGGCTGCGGCAGGCGGAGAACCTTGGCTTCCTCCATCACTGGAGCAAGCAAGCCTCATGTTTGCTTCAGCTGCGTGGCTGCCGGCTGCCATCTTGGTTGGCAGTTAATTTGCATATCACCCTGATTAGCCAATGGGAAGTGTAGTGGAGGTATGGTTAATTACCCTATTTGTCTATTATTAGATAGGATACTGTCTTGACTCCATTGTATGCTCTTGCCTCCTTTGTCAATTATTAATTGAGCATAATGGCTTGGGTTGATTTCTGGGTTTTCTGTTCTGTTCTATTGATCAATATGCCTGTTCTTGTGCCAGTACCAGGCTGTTTTGATCATAGTGGCTTTGTAGTATAGCTTGATTCCTCCAACGTTATTCTTTCTAAAGATTGCCGTGGCTATTCGAGGTATTTTTTTGGTTCCATATAAATTTTTGGAGTATTTGTCTTGATCTGTGAAATATGCCATTGGTATTTTGATAGGATTTTTAATCAGTCAAAGAATAGTTTCCTCTTTTACTTTTTGTGTTTGTATTGGAATAACACACTATTCAATTTTTATATAAAGGAATAAATACCTAATGATGGAGGAAAATAATTATTTTTCAATTTCTAGCAGGCTACACTAACATTTAAATTTTCTCCATCTAATTTAGCCAAAGGTTTCATTTGTGGGTTTTCAAGGTTTTGCTTATATTTCTACCTCATTTCCATGACATGACATATATTACAGATGAACATCAAGGTCAAGCCAATGTTTTTGCAGGGTCTACGGAATCTATTTTCAGTAGTAGACATTTTAGGCATTTACTATGTACCAGAAATAGTGTTGGGAAGTTTTGTACTATTTTTTTTTTCATTTTCTTCACACAATAAATATTTGAGATAGATAAACATATTTCATTTTTAAAGGTAAAAAAAAACAACTAAGGTTTTCAAAATGATTAATTTGGGATCTGGGTTTAGAATGCAAGTCTGCCAGATTCAAGAGCTTAGGTCCTAAAGACAGGGCTCACAGTTAGGATTGTAGTACAGCCATATTCACTGAGAAGAATTATCATGTACAGTGACATTTCCCTTTAAAAATGGAACACCAATACATTTGGAATGATAAAGTTTCTCATTGTTGCATAAGTCTTCATTTTGGCAATACAAATTATTAAAAATATATTTAACCATTAAGTGAGTGCTTATACTCTGTAAAATACTATATGAGGAAAATATGGGAATACAGATATAAACTTTTTATGTTTCTGTCCTCAAGTAACTATGATACAGTAATGGATACAGGCATTTATACAATTAATTATGCCAGGACAAAAAATATATAAATTCATTTTTAACCAAGATATTAGAAAACTACAGAATGATTCATGAGTGATTCCAACTGGATGAAAGGTTTTCTGTCATTCATAGGTTTCAAACTCAAATGTTAACAAGTGCCAGTCAGCCAACCTGAAGTGCTAAGGATGGTAGATGTGAACTGTGCAAAATGGAAAATAGGAAGCCTTCTAAAGATGGCAGCACCTATTCTGGTGCAAGCTTTTGTGGGGAAGGCTGGCCAGGTTCCAAAGCATCTGATGTTAGAGGATTTCCCCCACACCCTGTATTATGCATATGCTTCCAATTTTTCAATGGTAGGATAGAATTCAAGTTATTTTTTTGAAAATGTAAGAATGATCAAATAACATTTGAAGGTAATATGCAGCCCCCCAAAAATCAATATAGAAGCACTTGAACTTGAAGGCTGACTAATTTCATCCAGCAGAGAGAGAGATTTTGTTTTAGAGCCACAGCCTTAGCTTTTGCAGAATAACATTGAACACACAACCACTTCCAAACCTTGTTGTTGGAGTGACTCACAATTTAAATCTTAAAACTTTGGAGAAGCTCAAGTTCAAGGTATTGGGAAGTCGGGTCCCATACTAGTTAATATTTTTCAGTGAAAGACTTTGTGGAAGTGTCAGAAACTGATAACTTCCCCAGAGTGAAGGATTTATTTCCACAATCAATTTTTATATATTATTAAATATTAAAAGTTTTGATAATAAAAATGGTAGTGGAATTTGAGAATGAAATATGCTGCTTCATCATCAAATTTTAAATCAGTTTATAACTAAAAGCAAGAACAGCAAGAAAGTAGTTGTGAAATTCTGAAATTACAAAATGATTTTATTTGCTTATACACCTGATGAAATGTTTAAATTTGAATATGTTTAACAATCTGATATTCATTTAAAATATTTACTTCAATAAAGTATATATCCACTTAAATGTAAAACAGGTTGGAATTTCAGGCTTCAAAGTCTTCAGAAATACCTAAATTATACAGTGTACAGAATCTCTCTATATAAAAGCCCAGCGACCGAACGGCAGAATAACCAGAACGACATGCCAACCAGTCTCTATGACATGCACTGACCATCAGGGGGCAGATACTCAACACAGGAGCTGCCCCCTGGTGGTCAGTGCACTCCCACAGTGGGAGCGCCGCTCGGCTGATGGGATGAGCAGCTGCTCCCACAGTGGGCTGATTCCCACAGGCCACGCCCCCACCAGTGCACGAATCTGTGCACCAGGCCTCTAATACATTATAAATGTCTTGTTACTGTTGTAAAGAAGACAAATTTTAGCTTTTTTAAAATATGAAAACAAAATAAATATTTTTATATTTCAAATACTGTTAGCTACCATTGAAAACTTTGAGGATATTTTGACTAAGTTCCTACTTAAACTTCCTCCTTGTGATGATAAGTTGGTTTTTGGTACTAACATGATTTGGTTTATTATTTAATGTTACAGTACTATAACTAGTTGAAAATTTCCTATAATGAAAAACTAAAGTTGGCTGATGACCTCAAGTTCTATGAAGTGTGGCTTTTAGAATATAAATTATTAAAAAACATATAATTAGATTCACTTTTAACTCTCCATGATTAAAAATGGTGTTATTTAGTGATTTATTTATTTTTATTTTTTAGATTTCAGGAGAGAGATGGTAGTTCTGAATTATAAAGCATGACATAAAGCTAATTTAGCACACCAAAATAATAAATAATAAGTGGACTGTTCGATTTTCAGTATAGTTCCTAAAGTTTAATTTTACTCTTGTTGTATTACAACTTGAAACTCTAATTCTCCACTTCTAAGAGGTGGTAGCATAAATTAAACTCTGACCACTCAGATTGCTTTTTATGGAGTTAAATCCTGCTGCATTGTGAAAATGACATATTCATGAAAATTTTCTTTTGTTATCCAAGAAAAAGAAATTGCTACCATAACTTATACTCCATTTCTGAAGCTGTGAAATCAAATCAGATAAACAGCAAATTGAAACTTCAGAAAAATGTACCTCATAGTTCCATCTTATAATTTTGGAATTTTTTGCATCTATTCAGCAGTTGTACTTTATGTCCTTTGGAAAAATATATTTTCATCCATTGTTTGTATATTCACACTTATCATTGCTTCTGAAAAGAGGTAATACTTTTATTGGTTCTAAAACAGAGTGAACAACTGAAAGCATTTTTTAGTAGTGGAATATCCCAAAATTCTCATTCATAGTTGAAGAAAATGGGGAAAGATGTGTGGTAAGCAGCGAGACATGAAGGACGAGCGGTAGGCATGCCTGTCACCGGGCTGACAGCTTGGCGAAGGTTGTACATCATCTATCCTTCATTGGCTCATGAAACCCATTTCAGCTGAAATGCAAACATGCAGGATGACACATATATTTTTCATCTTCAGTCCTGATAGTTCTGGGCTTCCTGTGCATCATTAAATTGTTTCATTTTCCTATGTTCACCACAGATGTGCTGCCACCGGTTCCAGGCCAAGGGGATAAAACAGCAACGATGCTCTCAGATGGAGCCATTTATAGCAGCATTGACTTCACAACCAAAACCACTTACAACAGCTCTAGCCAAATAACACAGGCTACCCCATATGCCACGACACAGATCCTGCATTCCAACAGCATTCATGAATTGGCTGTTGATCTGCCTGATCCACAATGGAAAAGCTCAATTCAGCAAAAAACAGATCTGATGGGATTTGGTTATTCTCTACCTGATCAGAATAAAGGTAACAATGGTGAGTCAGGTTCTTATTTCTTGAGGATTTCTTTTTACATCATTTGTGCATGAGATAGAAATTAGTATTTGTTGTTCAGTTCAGTGATTCATTACCAGGTTCACTAAACTAAAAGCATATATCAGCATGTATTCAGTACCGTGCACAATTCCTACCACCACCACTACTACCAACCCACCACCACTGTCACCACCGCCACCATTGCTGCTACCAAACACCGACACCGATCGTTTTCATCCTTTTAGCTCTTTACCAATAGTGATCAGTAATCCATCTCAACTTCCATTAGGCAGGATAGGCCAAACATTCCTCCACTGTCCTCCAACATCTGCTTCTGAGTTGCTAACTGCATGTTCTGCATGGGCTTGTGCTGTGAACTAATCACATGATGCCACTGTGACCTCTGCCCTTTAACCCTTAGCCTTACTTTACATCCCTGACTACCGATTGGCTGAGGGATTGTCTAATAGAATGCCACACAACCAGTCACAGGATTTCAGCACCACCAGCTCTCACAACAGCTCAGAGCGGAGTGGCAGTCTCTCAGGTTGGTCTCATCGCAGTAAGGAGAAATATTTGTTTGTCACCAGCATATGACCTGTGTTCCTAACAACCATGAGGAAAACTGAATCACAGTCATGATCAGGCATTTATCTTTCATGACAATAGCAGTTTATCCTAATGAAACCATGCTTTCCTGTAGGGGTAAAAATCACTGTCACCCCTTATGTACTAAGTGTACGAGGATATATTTACTGAAAAGTAGTGCCATTTTACTGAATATTGTTCATTAAAGAGTGAATGTATTTGATCTGCTCAGAACCCTACTTAAGCCTCAAGAGAACTTTACAGTAAAATGATCATAGGGGAAAGTCAACTACATAGTGTGGGCACTAAAAAATGAGTTCAACTGAAATGCAAATAATTTTGGAGATTTTCATATTAGGATTTCAGTGATATTTTTGGACAATCTTTACAAAATGTTATGTAATACATTTTTTGTCTATTAAATGACATTATTTAAAGTAAGGTGCTAACACCATACTAAATAAGAATGATAATATGGGACATTCCCTTCACATTTAATTTCCCCCCAAATATAGTCTCTCATATTGATAATTTTTTCTATACTGTAAATTTTAATATATATTTGAGATGTATTAGCCAAACTACAACTATAATGTAGGTATTGTATAGGGGAAAATATATTTTACTGGACAGGAATATATACCTGTCATAAGTAATATCAGTGATATCCTCCAGGCCAAAGGATCCTCACATCTAAAATTCAGAGGTTGTAGTAGGCACACTCTAACTTCCAACCATAACATGTACGTTGTATGACTGATGACTTTATTTGCACATTTCTAATTAATTCCATGACCTTACTTGCTTAATTTTTCATATTCATGATATCCCATATTTTACAAAGGTGTTTTTTTTTAAACTACAGGCTTTTTAGTAAAGGAATATAGTGTATTATATGTTACACAACTACCAGGCATCAAGACCATAAAGAGTTAATTCTTTACATCATTAGGGTAACATTTACTAAATGACTTTTCCTCAGGAGAGAGAACCCTTTCAATTTGAAAATGTTAATGCTCTTTTTTCCCCTCTACAATGGGCCATTTGCTCTTCTTACCTCTTGGTAGAATTAAATACATTATAGAATCCAGAAAATTTTAAACATCTGTTATGAAGTGAAACTGGCTTAATATAATAGCAGACTTTTTTGAATATCTTTATATGTCATTTATACTGTCACTTATTTATAATGAGTTTCACAATAGCCCTGAATAATTAAAAAGTAATTTATCTTAGGCTTATTTTATTGAAGATATGTAGTCTCAAGCAATATAGATATAAAAGCTATCTATATGCTGTAACCCATGGAATACATAAGACCTTCTGTGAATTCTTCATAAAAATATTCTGTATATGTTGATTGCCACTGAGTTTTAGAAGTTATCTTTTGAGTAATTGTAAGCTGAACATAATTCACAATAGTGCTTATTTCTTTTTGAATACATTAATTTCCTGAGTGACATTTACATATGTCTATGCACAGTAGTAACTACTTCATCTACATTTGAATGTAAAGTCACTTAAATCAGTGATAGAAAGCATTCTTTAGGAGGTGGAAGTGAATTTAATATTCCCTTTTAGTTAAGTTCAATTGAGTTTAATATAGACTTTGTTTTATTCTTATAATAATGAGTATGTTTCCTAAGGCTCAAGTTTAGGATCAAACTGCCCTATGGATATCTAATCATATCATATTATAAGATTTTCTTAATTTGTGCATAGTGATGAAACCAATTTAAAGTAATTTCAGTAATAAAGAAAATTGGACATTTCAGAATTATTTGAGTGAATTTCTCATCCTCTTTGGAACTTTTATAATTTATTCAAACATAAGTTATGAACACTTCTATAAACAATCCAACCATTAAAAAAATATAAAAGAAAACTCAGATCTTTCAAAATAGCATCTGTATCATAATTTTATATATGTAGGGTATCCCAAAAATGTATACACACACTTTTAATAATTATAAAGTCAGTGTTTATTAAAATACATTTTATTTTTAATATTTAAATATCAGTTGTTAAAGTGTGTATACATTTTTGAGGCTTTGCCCTGAATACATGTGTATATGTAGTTCAATATCAGCATCAATAACTAAATTTTTTATACAGCAGTATTTTAAAAATAGACTATAAGTTTAATTTGAAAATTAGCTATATTTGTAGTTTTCTCTGAATAGAAGGCATTTGTTTAGCATACATAAATGTAAATCCAAATATTTACATTTTGCATTGAAGAGAGATTGGTCAAATATATTTGCAAAATATGTTTTCCTAAAATGTAACGCAGGCAGTTCTTCACTTTGAAATGCTTGAGGACCTTTCTTTGCAATTAACAGCAACAAACTATGGCTCACTTAGTTCACGTTTTAGATCTCAGAAAGAGAATTTGATTTCCTTAGTTTATGCCATATGCCCACCACAAAGAACACACCTGTCCCGGCTCATTGCTATAAGAGACAAAGCATGTTGATTGATAGTGCTATGAAGACTGTCCACAATAAGAGTACAGAAATTTCCCCAAAGAGGGGAATGTGATATTGGGTGGAAAGTCCTTACAACTTCCCTTAATGAATCTGTTTCCTCAATTCATTTTTAAGTCTGTTGTTTGGATAATGGCTTTCTTGACCTTGGGTAAGGACTTCAACAGATTTGGGTTAAGAAATACTAAGTTCCACAAAAGCTGCTGCATTTTTTTTTAATTTTTCTTTTACTGTGTGAATATGGGCCATACAACACTCGGAAAGCAACTATACCAGTGGTTCTCAACCTTGGCTCCATATTCGAATCACCTGGGAATCTTTTTAAAATCCGATTTCTGGGCCTCATCCTCAGGAAATTCTGTTTCTTTGTTATGGGGTGGGGCCACAACATTAGTAACAAAGAAACAGAATTTCCGGAGGATGAGGCCCAGAAATCAGGATTTTAAAAAGATTCCCAGGTGATTCTAATGTGCAGCCAAGGTTGAGAACCACTGATCTATACCTTCTCATTTATGAAATGGAGCTGTAAGAACATGCCTATTTGTGTCACTCAGTTCTGGTGGTGAGCATGTTGCATTTCTAAAAGTGCTATGAAAAGTGAAAAAGCATTGTACACACATAAATATAAAGAATAAAGGAGGCACGACTAGGGGAAAAGCTGTGGGCCTTGTGTCCCAGCCCATTCCTTTTTTAAGTGAGATATTGTTCTGATACTACAGAAAAATGTACAGTCCCTGTTTGGGTGGGTTATCAGGAAACAGAGGGTTAAGGCTCACGATCTTAAATAAAAATAGCAGAGATGTGAATTCAAGTAGGTTTATTATTCTTATCTGAAAATTAGGCTATTCCGGGGATACTCTTTGGCTTAGAGGAGTTGGGTGTGGCAAAAGCAATCAGAAAATAGTAGGAATGATTGACATTTACTGGGCATTCTTCACATTCTGAGTCCTCTACTTGCATTATCTCTTGAAACCTTCAAAATGCCTAAAGAAGTAGCAACTGTATATGTTTTACATGTATGGAAATCAAGGTGGTATTTATTGAGAAACTTACTGAGTAATTGAGAAACTAGTCTTCAAACCCAGAGATCAAGCTCTTATCCTTGAACCTGAAGATCGCTGCTCTCTTTGCTCCAAATATATCTCATTCTGCCAAAGATAAAAGTGAAAGGGAAGGTGAAAGCGCTTTATTTGCAGGAATGCTTTTTTACATATGTGTGTTTTATACACACTACCTAGAAAACATAGTAGTTTCAGCACTTTTTGGCACTCAAATAAATTATTAAATTACATAATTTTTTGATTTGGTGGATGCAGATTAGTAATTGAAGAAAGCAATATACCTTGCTAGATAACCATGTTGCAAATATTTGATTCTTACAACTTTTAGTTCCAGAAAGATAAAATCCAAGGAGTCAGTATCTTTTTTTTTCCTGCATAACTACAGACCGTTGTGGGAGTGATAAAAGTTTCTTAGCTTCCCCTTAATCATTCTTTGTCATTCTGCTCAAGAAGTATTCATTCTAGCATCTACCCATAGTTCATTTAGGAAGAAGCTTCATTTACTTAATTTTGAAAGAGTGAAAAGTCTGGCACTATAGAAATGATAAATTTTCTTTTATATTTTATTAAGCTCCTATAATTCCACATATGGCCTGTATGCCGCCATGTTACTTTCTGCTCATGTTTTGTGCATGGATTCATTTGTATTACAATAGTAGTGAAACTGATTACTGTATTTCCATTCATCTGGGAACTATGTTCACTATATGCAAAAAAAAAAAATTGTGTTGTTCATTAGTTAAAAATTTCTATAAAACATGTTATTGTGAAAAATTTACAACTTATCCTCTGGTACAGTTGATTGATTTTAAAACTATTATTCTCCTGGATTAATTAAATTGAGTAAATTCTAATGTAAAAGTTTAGCCTGTATCCTAGGCACTGCATTTTCCACTGAGAGAGATTACGCAAAAGAGCATTATAAACGCACTAAAATCTGACATTTGAAAAAAGTCGTTATGGCCCATTGTTTCCTCTAACAATGAAAATGTGGAGGCAGCACACATGCATAAATCAATAACTGTGCTTTTCCTACTACAGCAGCCATATTTTTGTTTACTCAACTCTGTAGTTAATGCGATGGGAAAGAGACAATACCATTTTGAGTGATTTATAAAAATGTTTTCTGATTAAATAATGTCATTGTTTATAGCTTTTAACACTGAGACATACCTATTCTGGTGTTTTGAAAACATAAATACATATGCCCATCTGATGTCTTTGTTTCTTCTGATATTTGTTATGTCTGAATAAGTGCATTGTTACTTTTAGGTGGGAAAGGTGGAAAAAAGAAGAAAAATAAAAACTCATCTAAACCGCAGAAAAACAATGGATCGACTTGGGCCAATGTTCCTCTACCTCCTCCTCCTGCCCAGCCCCTTCCTGGTTCAGAGCTGGAACACTACGCAGTGGAACAGCAAGAAAATGGGTAAAAATGTTTTATCGACTAAGAGAATGCCCAGGCTTCACTCCCTTTCTATTGTGCGTGTTTGTCTTTATCGTGTATGCTCTTATTGTTTTCTCTGCCCCCTTCCCAGCCTGTTCACTGCTTCTCCCCTCTTTTATTGTTTGCACCATCTATATATTTTTAGCTGATAAATACAACATAGCACATACTGAGGACCTAGAATCCTTGGCCTTCAAGTGCCTTAGATTGTCTGCAATCATGATAATGCAACCTCCATTTATAATATTGCTTGTTAGTTTGAAAGCAAGTACCCACAGCTCTGAACTAAAGAGCCACTCCTGAGAAGAGCTGAAAAGGGAATTAAAATAACCTTCTTCATCATTCCTCACAGTTCTCTAATGACTTAATGCCTGGCCATAGCAGGGCGCCCACTGTTGAGCTTCCTCACAATGGGCTAATTGCAGAGACCTGGCCAGTGGTAGAACTTTAATCATCAGCTTCGATGGGATCTTAGGGGCCTGAACAAGAAAAGAGGTTCAAGCCAATACACACTCTGTAACAAAACCTTTTTAAGTTAGAAAATGTCCTTTGAGGGCCTTTAAATGTGGCCAGTTTCCTTATTTTCCCCTAAACATCTCACGAGAATTAGATTGTTTTCTTCTGTTACTTGCGTTAATAGATTTTAAAGCAGGAGACATCAATACACTGTATTCACTAATCTGGAAACAAATAGCAAGGCAGAAAAAAACATACTCAGTCTGGTTTTCTTTCTTAATAATGGTCACTGCTCTGTCATCTTCACAGTTTCTAAGGTCATCATTGCTTTTGAATAGAACTGAAAAATACAGAATAAAGGCAGTTTTCCTTTTTCTAAGTTTTTCTTTATTTAGAAGTTTTTAGATGTTAAAATACTAATTGTAAATATTTAATTACAGTTATTTTAATAATGTCTATTTTCTGTCTTGTTTCACATAAAGATCACATGTACATGCTTATACATTGTTTCTCCATATTTTTTTTTACATACCTGCTTTCTTTGAAGTCTCCAGATTAATTTTTTCTGTCACAATGTTTGTATCCAAAAAAAGACCTATTTGCCTTTGCTTCCAGTTATGTAATATGCATATTTCTGTACTTTTCTCAATATCTTTCTTTCCATCCAAAGGGCTTCATTTGTTTCTATGGAATTATAGTTCCATACATATACATATCATTATTATTTTACTTTTTAAAAATGGGTTCACATTTGAAAAAAGAAATTAAGAGCATACCCCTTTTCTCTGACTTAAATAAATAAAACTCTGCATATGATATTATGCAATTCATATTGGTAACATAAATGTGTCAATGTTACATGGATCCTGGGCAAAGAAAAAGCAGAGATGCATTATTCCATGAGAAAAGATTACTATGGGGCTTAGAAATCTTCCTTTTAAAGGCTGTACTGAGAAAATGGGGAAATGGAACATGTAAACTGAGGAAAGAATGCTGTGAAACATTTATAAGCATGAAGTTCTGAATCATGAACTCAGATCACATGAAGCCTGTAGGTAATTTGGAATCTTTGTATTTTTTTCACACTAAATCTACTCTGAAAATGCATACACTATAAAAATACCTATTACAAATTGAGAAAAAATGAATTCATTACAAATAAATGATACAATTTTCACATTATTTTGTTGCCAAGCAATAGAGTTAGAACTATCCATTTGGTGAATGAAATAATTCACATTCGTGGAGATTTTATTTTGTAATACAAATTATTTTAAAAATATTATGATATAAAATATAAATTTATTTTACTACTTTGGGATTTTAAATTATTTTAATATTTAACCAGAATGCATTATATTAGAAAAATTTTTTCTAAAGATTGCTAAAAATATTTGATATTGTTTAAATTAATTAATTTTATTTTTTAGCTACCCAGCCCAGGCCAGGCAAGTTCATTTATTTTCTTTTTTCTTTTTTTTTCTTTTTTAATTTTTATTGCTGAAAGTATTACACATGGCCCCCTTCCTTCCCCATTAACCCCTTCTAGCCTACCCCCAGTCCTCTGTCCCAGGCCTTCACCACCCTATTGTTTGTGTCCATAGGTTATGCATTTGTTTGATCTCTTCCCACCCACACAACAGCCACTGCCTTTAAATAGGTACATAAATATATTTCTTGATTATATATATTCAAAGTATTTGTGGCATGCATGTAGTTTAGTTCTAATTTACCTTTGAGTTATTTGCCATAAATACCTCATATTTCCTGAAAAAAAACCCAAAAAACTTATTACTCTTAACAAAAATAGTAGTTAAGTTTTAACCTATCAGTAAACTGACAGTAAAACTCAATTTCCTTGTTTTTTGGACTCAGTTTTTTGTTTTGTTTTTTTTTTAAGGAATACTTGAAAGTTCTTATTTCACTTGTTTGTAATGAGAATGCATTTAAAGTCAATATGTAAAGAATATATCAAAATGAGTATATTTGGGAAGGCTTTGTCTATTTCCTGTTATACTCGTTATACTTTTTTTTCTAATGTGAAAATTATAATACTGAAAGGGAAAGATGTTTGAACACTTCCTAGTTTATTTATACTCTGGAATTCATGATGTTAACATTGACTATTTTGCAGAAGAGATCTATAAAATTGTTTAAATGCCTTGATTTAAAACTTATGCAGATTTAAGGTGTTCTTGAAATTCAAACAAAAACCTTAGAACTAATCTGTTTTGTTTTTAATAGTTTTTATTTTTAACAATCAAGGATTCTGTAATTATACTTCTTATGGTGATATATTGTTTTTGTTGTTTTAAACATATCATTATACAGAACTTATTCAACATATTTTTTTCAAGTACATAAAATTTGCTTGGCACTGTGTTAGAAAGAAAAGCCAGTGATGAAAGAAACTATAAAATTAATAAGGAAGATCTTATCCCTGATCTAGGGAGCTCACAGGACTTGGGGGAGATAGAAACCAGAAACCACACACACTCCAGCACATTATATTGTATGACAAGCCTTAGATGAGTGATGCGTATCTCTATATATAAAACCCTAATAAGCAAATAGACCAAATGACAGAACAACTGAACAACTGGTCGCTATGACGTGTGCTGACCACCAGGGGGCGCATGTGGAACATGGCAGGCATTAGCAGCAGGCGGCAGAGGGTAGAACATGGCGAGCTTCAGCCACGGTGGGATGGTGGAGCAGGTGAGCGGGGATGCCAGACCAAGGTGGAGCGCTGGTTGCTGTCATCAGGGTGAGCCTCTGGTGGTTACTGAAAATTCTTTGCTCCTACACGCCACAGTCCCACCCGGAGTTTGCACCTGCTGCCAGCGCTGGCCTTGCTCACACTTGCTGCCAGCGTCGGAGCCGCCACTTGCACCCATGCTGGCACCTGGCACTGGCCCCAATTATTCCTGAGGGCTTCTCCACCTCCCCCTGCTCCTGAGGGGCAATTGGGGCAGCAGCTGCCACTTGCACCCACTGCTGGCACCAGCCCCAGTTGCCCCACGCTGACAGCGGGTGCCCACTGCAGTGTCGTGGCCCACAGTTCCTTTCAAGGTGCACAAATTTGTGCACTGGGCCCCTAGTGCAATAATAATTTGCATGCAGAAAGTGATAGTCAAGCTTGCCAGGTAGGGCTGTTGCAATCCTATAAAAGTTGAGTTTTGAAGTGATTCTTGAATTTTTTATTTACAAATAATAGTGCCCAGAATTGGGTGATTGTTGCATGCCAGACTCTAAGTCAGAAGCAAATAGACAAAAGTGGTGAGAAATAGTCCCTAACATAAAGTAACCTGTGTGCCAGGATAGCTTGTTAACCAATGACTACAACAAGATGTTACTAATGTTGCCATTTGCTGTGTAGATGAAAAGAAAATTTTCTAGCCAAAAGTAAACATAGATATAAAATTAAAAAGGAGGAAATAAAAAAAAGAATAGCACATTAGTCTTCCTTTGGTACTTTCCACTCTTCCCTTGGAAACCTCACCCTATTATAGTTAAAGTTACTTGCCTTTCCTTTATTTTTCATTATTCTTTAAGCTTACTTTCCTACTGTAGTACTTATCACATTTCATTCTAATTGCTTGTGTGTAACCTTCCACAATTGCTAGCTGCTCTATGAGGTTTGTTGAATTTGAAACATGTGTAGTGTAGGAGATATCTGAGAAGGTGTCTTGAGGACAATTTTGAAACCTTGCATGTCATGTAAGGATTCTGACTTAGGATACAGATGATGCATTGGAGGACATGAGGCTGGGGATTAATAAATTGTATATTGCAGCAGAATGGCCACTATCATGAAAGTGATAAGGGAATAAAATAAAGCAATGGCAGTGGGATGGAGGGACAGGGATAGATTTTGGAGATATACCTAGCTGAGAATAATCACAATCTTGAAAAGAGAGTCTCCTGTTTTATATTACAATTTTTAATATTGTTGCTAAGAATTTAGATATTATCAATTTTTCCAAGCCTTTCTTGGTCTGATCCCCTCATTATACTAAATATCAAAAGTATCAAATCATTGTCCAAATAGAAAATGTATTTAATTGTTAATTTAGTGCCATAGCAACAATGGTAAATGTTCTTTCTCATCAATATGCCTCTCTCAACTTGACAAAAATGTTTCCAATATATCCTTTTTTGCTATAAATATAATATATTTTAATATAATCATATGATGCTAGGAAGAATTTAGTAGTAGTTCAATAGAAAGCATGCTCAGCTTTATTACTGCAGTTAGAGATTGGCAAGCTTCTGTGGGTGTTGAACTTTATTGTATTTTTATTAGTAATATTATATTTGTATTTGGCCTTTAACAAGTTAGTTCACAGGCAACATTGATTTGTTGTCATCCTTCTTATATGTGAGCAAGACAGTAGTGTTTCCTCCCACTTCACTTCCAATGTCAAAGAACAAACACTTCTTCAGGAAAAGTTGCCCAAAAGAAATTTGGTTGGTAGTTTAGCGTTTTCACAGTCTTTCTGACGTTACTGTTGAAATTTCAGCAC